TCCATCCATGCGAATATAGGTGTACCTGTAGGTTCGGTTTGATATCAGAGGGGATATCAACAAAATACTAAAGTTCACAACTGACTTATCATTTTGCAACTTGCGTTCAATAATGTCCAGCATGTCGCGGCTTTGACTGAATATGAGCACCTTTTGCTCACCCTGCAATGAAAAAAACTTATGCTGAGCAGCAGCTCTATTCATCCCTGTTACCCGTCAATGGGTGATCTTATCCAACCTGCTTGCTCCACATGTGCAACAGTTTCGACAACACACGCATTTTACCACTCCTCCGATAGTAACCATAGGCTTTCGTCTTGTCTTCCGTTTCATCAAATTCATCTAAAAATAGAAAGAATGCAAGAGTTCTTAACAAACACCAACACTTAGCACAATTGGAAGAAAAACCTTCACCGAAAATTGAAATGAACTCAAAAAGAATGAGCCAAAATTATTCGATGTTGAGAAGGCGATGAGTGATTGTAGAAGGATCATGACCAGTCAAAACGGGTTCAAGTACAGGGATAAGTTATCAGACCCCATGAATACGAGTTCGTCCTTCTATTCATGGACTGGACTGAATGGAATAGAAGAGGAATGTGGTGTATTATGACAGTAGTTCAGTACTCAAAAACCACCCCTTCCTCGCATCGACCGACTAGACACAGCCCTCTTCATGCCAAACACACATAATTCTAGAGCTCCCCATTCCCACTCCTTATTCTTTTCGATTTTTGCAGATTTGCAGAGACTTGAGAGGCGTGTCCATAATAAGGTAAATTAACTACGCTGACTTTAAGCGCAGGAGAAACGGACCTACTGAGGAAAAAAATACGTGGTTTCCCGAACAGACCTCTACAAAAAGAATACACAGGTAAAAAATCCAAAACAGAAAACTTTGAAACTGCAAAGGCTTCAGAAGATACATGTTGAACTTAAAACTAACGATGGCGATTCGGTCCACCATTGACCAGGTCGGGATGATTGCAGAGCTTACGCAGAGTAGTCAAGCCTACAAATGCATCAACTCGTCCTTTGAAAATACCAGCACATTCACGTGAAGTGAGGTAGTCCCGATATAAACGACGCTGTTCATCAGTTATTTCACAGAACAGCACCTAAAACTTCATATTAAGCGAGACTAGAAACGCAAAAAACAACTACCACCACGCTGTTCTTGGGAAGAGTTTGGATTCATTTTACCATAACCATTTCGATTACATTTGAATACGGCAATCATGATAAATTGCGCCGATGAAAAGTGGAAATAGGGATTCTTAGGAGCGTAGATGGCAAAGAAGCGAGCCGCCACAACCCCGAAAATGGGATACGTTATCTTATGACCGGCAAGGTTTGTCCGGACAAGATGGCCGTGACGGTAGTTGGCATGCTAATAGTTAGCGTGCCTATATGAAATCCATTTCGAAATGAAGATCGAATAAACCATTTCCACATCTCTAGCCGCCGCGAAATTTACTTAACGATCTTTGTACTACCTCTTCGGTAGCTTATGAACCATTGGATAGTACGCAACTGGATGCGGAAAGCGCCACTGCTATGCTTGCACTGGACAATCTTAATAACTCACTGGTATCTCTAGCCATACAGAACACCAAACTCCTCACATGTGCCCTATGGGATGTGCACTCAAAGAAGCCATCACTTGCTCCATCACTTCGAAGATATTCACAAGTGACATATTTGTTTGGGAGGATAGCTTATGCGGGGCAAAATGATGTGGTGGCAGGTGCCGAAAATAAACACGCGGATGGCCTGATGGTCACATCTCGAACGAATCTCGCTCAAGCTAGCCAGGACTGGCCGATGTCAGACTCTGCGATTGGAGCGATTTTGCACCGTCGCTCCTGCAATTGGTGCAAAATCGCTCCAATCACAAAGTCTGACATCGGCCACTTCTGTCCCTCTGGGGTCGGTTAGTTACTGTCAGATTGCCTGCGGAGGAAAACCTTGATTGGTAATCGCCAATGCACTTCACTGTATGAGCAATTCACAAAAAAGGTAGAATGAGGTGTCGGTCTCAGAAAAGCAACTAACGTAGAAGAATCGTCTTCTACGCATCCACTGGTGTTATTGTTTTTTAAGATTAAAAATGGACAGCTTTTCCTTTGCATAGAACTGACCTTTTCATTCTTTTCCGGTAAATCAAGCGTTTTCTGGACATTATGTTTCAAACGGCGTAGTATAAATGGCGACGATGTATCGCTCAAAAATATGCCAAAAGGAATTCAATTCTTGAAAAACCTCATACACAAATTCAACTAACAGCAGTTTTCACGAGGCCAGTAGTGACGTTAGGATGTGATTTAAACAAAGCCCAAGTGTATCGCTGTAAAAGCACTATTTCAAAAGCTTGAAAGCAGCTCACTCCACTTAGGACGTGAGAGATGAAAAAATAACCCGTCCTCTTCTCTTGGATCCAGTAATCTATGTATACCATTATAACAATGAAGTAGTAGCATGAGTAGGTATGAGATTAAAGCTCGCAAAAGGATCTATTTTCAAGTGAAGATTGTTCTATAGGAAGCAATGCGCTAGCCTTGCTACTTTTCAAAAGATTCTAAATCTTTCAGCAACAAAAAACTCAAGTCAAGGACAAAAGTCGAGCACTTACCGCAGCACCACTGCGCATTTGTACGCAGTAGTTAGTTGCTGCTTTGTCGCATTCGCATAACCACCCTGCGTAATCGGCACCGCGAATCTCTCATTGAATGTTTCCAGAGTATTAAGTCTTCCAGCATAAACAAAATCCATTAATGACCCTGATTGTAGAGTTAATTAACAAGTTGCTGGTACAACTCAGAACGATCAAACTGCTAACCATATTTCTGCGAGTGTATTTTGAAGCGGTGTTCCGCTGAGTATTAGACGACACGGCGTATGGATTTTCTTAACAGCCACAGTTATCTGAAAAATACTCATGGTTAAGCAAAGAGATGTTATCTATCAGAAATAGCTACCCTCTAGAAGACAAGTGGAATGACGTTAGCATTCTCCTCACTCCAGTCAGGGAATCGATGTAAATTATTTAGAAGCGAAATTTAGTGTGTGTGTGTGTGACCACGAATGATCCTACATACTAGTAGTTCGCTTCGTCTGTCTGACAGCACTGCCTAAGAAACCACTTGGAGAGTCTAGGTCAAGATTGGGATGTCTGGAAAATGGGTCAGGAGTACAAAACAGAAAGGTGGGCGGTTATGCGTCGAAGTGATTCAGTTCACTAGAAGCCCAGAGACCGGGAAAATGAGTGAAGGTGTGCACCGTGCTGCCCGGTCCCAACTAGAGAGGCCCATCGGCAATGGGCGGAGCATTCTCTTAATGGGCGGTGCTTGCTAAAAAATTCATAAATAAAGATAAGATTGTCTAGAAAGAAGGAAGAAATTGGTACGAGAGAAAAGAAAATTTCTAGCAAAACTGAAGTTAAAAGGGCAGCTAACAGAAACTATGTAATCTCGAAAGCCGAGAAACAAAGTAGAACTTGAAGAAGATAAATGAGATTAGACGTGAAAAGACGATTACCTGAGCATTAGGATTACGAATTTTGTGCCCCTTCGTCCAACACGACATAGTGCCATGCCAATGGTAATATGAACTCCTGACACTTGAGAAACGTCGAGTAGGTAGTGATAATGACAGATCCACCCCTGAAACCAAGACTTTTTTTTACAAAAGCGGTTATTCATCCGTTGCGTCGATGAGTATAATTCGTCACAGGTGAAGCATACGTGGACGTGAAATACCGGATATAGGAACGTTAGTTAGCTGTTATATTTCAATATCCTTTTCGGAAAAACAGAGGTGAAACACACACCGGAGTGAGTTAAGGGCCCGCTCGATTCGTACAATACGCAGTGGAAGAAAAGAAGAAAACAGATATTAAGAAAGAGTAAGGAAGAAAAGAAACTGACTTTCGATTCACGTTCATTTTCTTGATTAGGGCATTTTTTGGACCCTTGTAGCTACCGATCGAATGAAGGATTGCTACCTGCAAGCTCATGATGCTGCTATCAAATAGCGTGAACAAAAATAGAATGAAGATAATGTGCTACGCGAAAAAGCTCCACTAACCCTACAACGCGGCATCCACACACGAAATTCCTCAAGCCACTGACGAAGCACTGTGGATGGGCATACGATCAGCGACGGCCCTAGTCCTTTGAAACTGTAAAATGATCAAGATTGGCAAGCGCGAATTCATCTACGTTGTCATAATTGAATTTTAACAACATTGGCACGGCACAACGTACTTCATGTAGCTGTCGTTTACTTGAGACTCATCGACAGCACGAAGGAAAGCAATAACCTGAACATATCCATCAACTACAGTAGTAAGGAGCGAAATAACATTATTACAACTCGGTGAAATCAGGAGAACCTGTATTGTTTTTCCAAGTCCCATTTCGTCGGCCAGAATACCACCAACGTACTCCTCGTGTAACTCCGAGAGCCACACTACACCCTCTTTCTGATACCTAAAGGCAATAACGATGATTTTGCGGTTGACTCACCTCACGTGAACTTTGTATGAAAATGAAGATACAAATATTAAAGCTTCAGGTAATTTAACTAATCTATAAGATCCTATCCTGCCACCGTCACGAATTTGGTAAGGTTCAAAAAATTGTATATGTTAACTTACTTGAAGAGGCGGTCCCAGACACTACGAGAAACTTTTAGTTTATCTCCGATTTCCTTGAAAACTTCTCCTTCGAGTGCAGATTCATCCAGCTGCCTGAAAAGCCAAAATAATTTAAACTATGTATTTAGAGGGATATTTATTGATCCACCTAC